CTGTCACAATGTTGGATGAATGAACCACAGGTAGATAGTATTACTTCAGGAAATACCTATCGGTTGTTAAAATAAATTAAAGTGTCTTTATTTATCAACGATATCTTTGTCTATACCAACAACCGCGGGGCCACTCCAGTGCAGCCATCTTTATTTAGTACATTTTAAATTTAAAGCATTTAGTATACATAAATCTAGACCCGCGAAAAGCGAAATATTAACTGTGATAGAAACTATTATTTTACTATAATAGAAACTATTATAGTCCGAATAAGTTGTAACCAGCAGTTTACAGTCATCCACGCCTTCTTCTCTTGCGTTGTCCAATCTTTTGCACTGTACATTCCATAACATTCCCTTGTCATATCACATTYCATATTTCCCGTTGCTTCCATTTACAACTTTTCACTATTTTACGAGCGCATCATATTTTGGCCTGTATTCCCMCACAGGCACACACAAGCGTACACGTACACATGCATAATGGTGCATCTTGCCACGTGCCTCCGGCTGCTGCTGGACCCCTAGCGCTTTTTAGTGCAAACTTTTTGTGTGAATTGTGTCATTTTTTATGCTGGTTGTGTATTATTTAACGCGCACCCACACTTCCATGCACATACATGTACATAAATATGTATGCGAGCACACTCCCACCTCGTTCCTTCAACAAACATAGTTTAATATTTACTTTTTGGTTCTACTGGTGRAATTACTGTTGGTTTATTCTGATGATTCATGGCAACGTATATGGTTGCCTATTATTTTTCAGTGCGCTGTAGCGCTCCTACAATTTGAGAGAAGGTTGGGGAGTTATTGTAGTGTCAGAGTAGTGGATGTGCCACTGTGGTTATTTGGGAATAAAAGTACCAACGGTATGTCGTATATTAATAATGCTACCAAACTGCTGCTATTTAGTGTTTTAACAGTGATGTTGCCTCTGTAGTGAACAAAACTCTGCAGTGAAAAGTCACCTTCTGGAGTTAAAAGTTTGGAGTGTTATGCCAATGATTACTTAAGAAGAAATATAATTATATATGTATGTATGAAAAAAGACTTAAGATGAAAAATAGCTTGTTAAAAATTTTGCGAGAAAWTGTGCTATATAGAGCACAACGAAGGTAAAGAAAAGTATAAAACACTTTCTTCTCCTAAAATATATAGAATTATATGAGCTTACCCAACTTGTCTATAACGACCAAACTGATTAAATGTAAGAATATGTGACAATCATAAGAAAATAATATACAGAAGAACACCGCTTTCCACTTAACTCTGCATCCACTTTYCATCATTTCTTTTCAGTAATGATARCTCTCCAAACATAAATGTATTGMAATAYTTTTGGCCAATTCACGTAGAAGTTTTGCTTCGCTTTGGGAAACTCTCATCGTTTTATGCATTTTCAAGCAACAGCTGCCATTTTTATTAGAGACAAGCAGTGAAAGCAAAGTGTGCGCTTTGAGTATGAACTGTCACTCAAAGCGAAGAAAGTTGTATGTGAATGTGGCCTAATGTTTCAGAGAGAAATTCATGGTTTGCTGGAGAGTCCCGGAAGTTTCCAAAAAATCTGGCAACTAAGTGAGACTAGGATAATTTCTAACACCTCGCTAGCATATAACAGAAAGACAGCATCACTAAATATCTTCAAAGCAAGCATCTTAGCCAGTCTCTTGTGCAGAGCATCAAATTTGCAGCACAAATGAATTTCCTGGCTAGACATGTGCTTTATGCTCACACACACACAAACACAACAAAAGAAAAAATATGTATTTATGTCAAATCCACAACCCAACAAGCGCTTCTGGCTATATGCATTCATATGTATGTGTSCGTGTGTGTGCTGAGGGAACCGGTGCATCGCATTGTCTCCAACGTCCCATATAAAACCGGTATGTGTGTGTGTGTGCGTCTGTTTGCCCAGCGCTGCCTTTTGCGTTTGTGTGCGTGCTTGGGCTATGAATTCCCGTTGCTTATTTGTTTTGCATTGTACATATTGCTTGGGTAAATAACTGCATGTACTTATGTACATAAAAATTGTATATGCATGCTCTGCGCTCTGACTTYGTTGGTGGCATTTGTTGTATTTTTATTTGCATGCCAAATAAACGAAGCATATTTTTCTTTGGTTTATGTATTTTTCGCACACACACACACATGCAATTTACATATGTCAGTGTATGCGCGTATTTATTTGCATATTTCTACGTATTCTTTTTGCCGACTTTATTTATTGACAAAGTCATTTTTCAACTGTTTTACCTTTAAAGCAAAAAGTGCCTTTGCTGCAAGCGCAAAAGCGAATTTTATATTGAAATTAATTAAAACGACATTTTTGCATTTTTACATTTACTTGTACATGCATAGTTGGAAAATATTTTTCGATTAGCACCAGCTTTACAACCATGTTCGACGGAGTASTTTTCAGCAATAATCTCCTTTTACAATTATAATCAGAATGCCTTTGTAGTGCAAASACTGTGACCTCAAAGATGGCACTGGACTATGCTCATTTTCATAATCCAGATTTTAGACCTGATTTTGGATAAATTTTTTGAGCTGATAGTAAATACTATATTTTAGGCAAACCAGAACTCTCAGCTGACTTTGCCGACTATAGATATGGACAGAGCTTCACCACTCAACATATTTTTATAGATGGTATGGATAGGTATTTCTCTTGTATAGGTATTTTTTTTCTTACTTTTATAAGTGCAAATATTTTCGTATTTTGTCAATGGATACCGTTGCAGCCATATTTCTCCAGTGCTACCAATCGCACAGTGTCATAAAAAACGGCCAGAACGRATCAAAAGAATGGGCTTCGTCTTCCTTTAGAAGAACGCTAGACCACACATATGTGTCTTTGGCTTGGCAAAAACTGGTAGAGCTTGGCTGGGAAGTTTTGATGCATCCACCATATAGCACCATCGGACTACTATTTGTTTCGGTCAATGCAGAACTCCCTAACAAGTGACAGAATCTATTTATAACCACAAATATCTAAAATAAAGCACAAGTTTCATGAAATATATATTTTACGCACGAGAAAATTTAGAAAAAAATTAGTCTTACGAAATATTAAATACGCACTTAATTAAAATTGTGGATCAAAAGACTTTCGAAAATAATTAAATCTTTTTTTTTACCCAAGACAACAGCACAAACTGCGTTATATAGCATTAAAAATGTCGCCAACACTAGGTGAGGCAAGTGTAAATTTCTCTGGCGCCATCGCCTCCCACCTTGCCCCACATTGCTGCTTTCATTTTAATTTCACAATATTTTCCAAACACTTTGCAACAAGGGTCAACAACGCAAAATTACTGTTTTACCTTCACTCGGTTGTGCAGTGTGTTTACCGTTATATTGTTATGGCAACCTTTGCAACCACTTTGGGAATTAGCCGAGTTAATTAGATTTTGTTGTCAGCGCGAAGACGCAATGGTTTAGTGCAACGTTCACAAGGGAGACTTTATTCACAATATTATSTACCGTATTTTGTTGTCAAAAGCAACAGTTTTTTACTTAATTCATGATTATATGGTAATATGCGCTATCAGAAGGGATTTATATGAAAAGTTTGTGTTAACGGACATTTTTACCTTTGAAGCTCAAATTTTTATATAATTGCATATGCATTGAGGAGAAAAAAAATATAACATATTTTTAAGTGAGGAAAGTGATATATTTTCGGAAAAATTAATGTCTACCAGTATTTTATCTATAGTTCGGTCTAGCAACATTTATACAGAATTCTTTGGAGAAGAGTGAATTAGGTAATTTTTAGCATTACTTTTGTGTATCCTTTGTACGTAGCCATAATTTTATAATCCATATCATAGCAATTTGAGTTTTCATGCTATGACCTACAAAGTTTTGGGGAAAGTTTAATGCCGTTGCCAGAACAACAACATCTTGTGTATAAAAGATGTATATGAATATAATTATTCTAGTCGTCCTATTATATGGTTGCGACCTTCAGATGATAACAATCTTTCATGAGTTCGAGTTTGGTGTGTTCAAGAGGAAGTTCCGGTGACAGGTATAGGGATCTTTATATATAATATGTTATAAATGCCTCATATCTATCTATATATATAATATATAAATGTCGTTTTACAGCTTTTCAAGTTTTCAGTACTGTAAGAGCTAAGGTTATCAGCGGAAGTGACATGTGCTTTTTGAGGATAAATTTGAGAATATCTTAACTAATAATTTTATATAAAAGTCAGGAAAGCATTTTTATGCAAAAATTATTTATAATTCAAAGCTTGGAAGAGCAATATTAAAGATGGCTGTGACGTCACTCTCCCTCTCTTATGGTTAATATAAGAACATTTCGTTCTTTTTTCATCACATTAGTGTCTTTCATAATTTTTCGATTAAGTTAAACGTTAATTAGATATTCATCATTAAAAATCAACATAAAAAATTATWAAAAAAARWAWWMYTTTTTAGAGAAGTAAATTGTTTACGAAACTGTGAGATTTGCAATTTCAAAATGTTTTTTCTACTGTTTTATTATATCGCATACAATTTTTCCTGAAATTGATAAAATTTCAACAATCTTCCACCATTTTAAAGATCATTTCGATCTTACGAAATCTACGAACTGAGGTATATATTAGKTTGTCAAAAAAGTCTTGCGGTATTTTCGCTAGTTGGCGCTGAGAGCGCGTAGTTCTAGTTTTATTCGTCGTTGAAAYAATTGAATATTCAATAAAAAATACCGCAAGACTTTTTTGACAACCATATATTAAAGYAGTTGGAATAGAAATATGAATTTTTCAAGCTGATAATAAAAAAATGTAAACCAGAGGACCTCACGTTACAATTAAGAGCTCAAACTTGGAAACATTTTCGTATAGGGGGCTRAGGAACTAATTTTGGGAGTACCAAGCCAAAAAAATATATTTTTTAACCTCACTAATATATACTAAATATAACACCCTATATGGCATTGTAAGATACATATCTATTTATACATTTGGCACACTCACCTGGTTTAAAGCCATCGCCATGCTCGTGTGTTGAAATAAACTGCAATGTTGTTAGGCTGAGGCACAACAGAATCGACAAAGCGCGCTCCATGACTGGTAGTGTAGTTCTTGTTGTTGATAGCTGCTTTTAAGTCGACGTTGCACAAAAAATATACGCTGTCGGCAATGTTCTAAATTGTATGTTGCTGTAAATRTGTGTGACTTATTGTAATAGCTTGAATTTATACAACGTTTTTAAAGACTGACTGAAATTTCAAACCGAATTCTTAATTAGCTTTGTGTTGTATTTATTTATATTATTTTAATATTTACTTTGTTTTTACGTTTACATCAATTTTAATTAACTAAATTGTGTTATTGTTGTTATTATCGTGTTTTTACATTAATTAAATTTGTGTTTTTGTTACGCCTTTATTTTCTAATTTATTTAATTGCATTTTACTTATTTTATATTAGAGATTACTGTTGCATTATGCACACTTACGCATTTACCGCTATTTTCTATATTGCAATTAAATTAATTCTTCTCTGTGATTATTTAATGCAACATTTTTCCTCTTTATACATTTAATATATTTTATATTAAATTTTTGATATTTATKTCCGACATTTTGTGTCCCCACTGCAATGCACGGTTGCTTTTTGCTCCATTGTATTACTTGAAATTTTAATATTAATGCATTGTTAGTGCACTGCTGGACGGTTGTGGGTTGCCACATGCGTTCAACATGTCACATACGTGTTATGGCACACCTGGCTTACAGCTGGTCCTCTGTTCACGCTCATTACTTTGGTTTAGTTATGTTCCACAAGGGACAGTGCTGCGCACGTGTCAGCACAATATTGTTAATTTTTAATATGTGTTCACACTTTACATTATCTTATTTATTTTGAAACTTTTTTYTACGCTTCTTCACAAATTTGACTTGCTCTTTTTGCACCGTACGACCGACCGCATTGTTGTTGGTTTTTTAATGTAAACATTTAGGTGGCGCAAACGCCCGCCTGCGCATCTGTCGCTGTCACTTGCATGCTGTAAGAAATAAAACATACACATATTTACATGTTATGGCTAACGGTTGCAATGCTACATATGCCGTATATGTGACATTTGAGTTATGTGGCAGGCAGGTAGGCAGTGGCGATGTTGGCACTCATGAAAATGTTCCGTAAAGATTCACACGTGCCACAGTAATCGCACTAACACAGGCGTACATAAATTTCGCACTACACATACACACAGACGTGTTTATACGACAACAGAGAAGGTTTTCACCTCCACTTAATACATTTACGTTACTGCCGTATAATTCCAGTTACCCGCCCACTTTTGTGCCTTACTTTCATTTCCCCATATTCTCATAATAATTAAACTTTAACGAAAGCCTGGTGATAACTGTGTGTGGGTCTAATGCTTAGAGAAAAACCTTCAGCATAAATTATACCCTGAACAAGGTATATTAATTAGTCATCTCCGTCTGCCTGTATACATATGAACTARTCCCTCAGTTTTTAAGATATCGTTTAGAAGTTTTGCAAACATCATTTTCTCTTCAAGAAGCTGCACATTTGTCAGAATTACCGATATTGGACCACTATAACATATAATTGCCATACAAACTGAACAATCGGAATCAAGTGCTTGTATAGAAAATTTTCACGAAATTTAGTATAGATTATTTTATAAGGCTACTTGTAATCTCCGCAGAAATTGTTCAGATCATTCATTATGGCATATAGCTACAAACCGAGCGCTCGGAATCAAAGGCTTGTATGGAAAATTTTCGCATTTGACACGGTTCACGAAATTTGACATGGATTACTGCTTAAGGTAATAATAAAATCTCCGAAAAGTTACTAAAAGAAATGCATCTGTGAATCTATATTAGGTTCGGTGTAGCCGAAGTTAACTTTTTTTCTTGTTTTTACCGGAGAATAAAACGAAAAATCACACAAATTCCACCACCATGCTTTASACGCATGTACTGTTTCACCACTCAAAATTGTTTATAGTCTCAATATGGTCAAGTTTTGTGGTTTATTTGAAGCAAATATCAGTTTTTTTTAAGTCCATTGTAATGATTGCATTGYACTAAACGTTAATATGACTCAGGGCGTTTAAGAAAATTTCTACTAATGAATTTCAGTGCAGAAATTGAACCTGACTTAAACGTGGTGAAATAGCCCGCCGTTGAAAAACGAGTTTTATCAAGACTCAGGGTTCTGTTAAAACAAGCTAATTTGGTTTAGGTTTGGAAGTCGGCTGTTTCGTCATTCAACAAAAAAAGGTGAACCGATTATTTGTAAAAAAAATATACAGAAGAATAATTTGAGGTTCTTAAATATCTGGTGTATGAAAATACATAATGTTGGTCGGAAGGTAAGCCCTTCAATAGAACTTTCTGTAAAATTATWATATAGAGAAGATAGTGAACAATGGGGCATGAAGACTTTTTTCTACAAATAAGCAGGAAGTGTTCTACGGATCKTTCTGAACAATTTTGCCCTTCAAAAATACAACAATAAACTCGTATGGTTAGTTYATTAGCTTTAATTAAAAAATCGATTGTTGAAGAACTTTTCTCCAGCGCACTGTAGAAGTACACTGAAATGACGTGATACAAAAAATCTGGCTCTGCTTTTATAATAATATTTTTTGCCAAAAATTGTACAGAGAGTTTGCTTTTATTAATATCGTTAAAGTCGATTTATTTTGCCTCCATTCGGCCCTTTATTGCCTTTCTGAGTTTTGACAGTTTTTCTGAAAAAATCAAGTAACTCTTTGCAAATATAAAGAGATGCCTACAAGCCGCTAAAAATAAACAATATAGCACTTCTAAAACGTTGTTATTCCATTCATCAAACTAGTTTTTCAAATCCCTCATAATATAATATTAAGAAGTAAAATGCAAAATACCGCACCATTTCCCATTTTCTGATCTCCTACACTCCTAAAGGTATGCAACAGAAAKGCGTGCAGGCAAGTTTTGCATAATTCAATGCCGTTTTGTTATAAAGGGTGCAGCACACAACCCTTGGCGCGTGYAACTTCAGGCATTTGCAACATTCAAAATCGCCAATCTGTGGCATGGTTTTAGCGGTAAGCTTTCGTAATTTCATTTTGATTATACAATGAAATTTTTATTAACACATTCACTGCACTGGCGCCCATTAGTGTTGACACGCGCGTGCGTGTTGATATTTTTCAAGCGATGCTATCTGGTGGGTGGACTTATTTGTATATACATGTGTATGAGCGCTGTTGAAGCAGTGTTAAGCTGGAAATTGGGTTGGTCCGCTTTGCATTATTGTTTGCACAATCAAAATGTASGGAAGTCTGCAAGTAAAGAAAGATAAAGGTAATTTGTTAGACCAATTAATAAAAGTCACTGCTGAAAAGCTAATTTATGTAAGGCAATGAAATAAAAATAATTAAAATACCTTTATGCCGGAAACATTTAAGAAAAATATATGTTGTAAATATAAGTGTATCTATATTATTAAATATTATTATCTGTTTTAAACTATTAAATAAAAAAGTGTTAGTTATTTTTTTACGCTAAAAATATAATGTTTATTTCACACAAGTATTTATATTACGAAGGCTGTCACCTGTGCGCTAACCCCGTAGTTAAATTCAAAATAACGGAACTGCTAGGTACAAACAAAAAATAATAATAAACAACAAAAAAAAAAACAGAAATAAAAAGCGTTATACGCCAGAAAATATGCAGCGATAATTTTCAACGAGTTAAAACAATGGCAGAAAGGGTGAATATGACAYAAAAAGCGATTAAGTCAAAGCCCTTCACAAAACAAAGAAATAAAATGTAAATAAATTCGAAAAAAAACAATCAAAATAATTACACAGCAAGACCAGGGTCATTTCTCATTTAGAGCGCGCACACACGTACACACATTAAATGTGAGTGTGTGTTTGTGTGAGCGCGCTTGTGAGATTGCTTTTTATAGCGACAATCGAGCTTGCAGCAAATCTCCTTTCATATTTATATTGTCACTGCGGGGATTTTTGCAAACCAACAAGCGCACATCCCCGCTCCCTCACGCTTACCCGCACCCACAGGCAAACAATAATAATGCTGCACCGCTTTGCTGCTTTTTCGCGATTCATTTATTTTATTTAGCCCATTGTGTTGTTGTTTTTTTACATTTTTCTTCTAATTTCATTGCAGCGTTCTTTAATCTATTAAATATGTATGTATGTATGTATGCGATATCAACAACAATAATAATGTTATTGTATATGTGTGCTCGGGGCGCGCTATGTTTTATACAGCAAGTGTGTGTATATATATATGAAAATATTCATATAAATGACCAAAGCTGTGTAGGTGTATGTGTGCGTTTGTGGCTTACACTGCACATTTASGCGAATCGCGGCTGGTGATAAGAGGTCTTCCTTGGGGGCATGATTAATTAATGAAAATAAAATATTCTCGCAGCCTCTATACCATTGCACTGAAGTGGATGTGTATGTGTGTGTGTGTGTGCGCAGATAAGCTCCACCACAATGCCATTTGCTTTTAATGCCATAGAAGGCCAGATTGGTCGGTGGCATTAGTGATGCCTTATCGCGAAAAGTAAATCAGTGCTGCGAAAGTTGATGCCTTTACTYACGCATTCGCTCGTTGAATACTTTTTGTCGAATCCAAATATACTCGTTGATTGAGCTTTGCTTTGTAAACAAATTTATTTATTTTTCTTAAAGAATTCTTCATTTTGTCAAATCTTCAAAATAATGAAACTTAGTTGTGTGAACAAACTATCTAATCAAAATAAATAAAACTTTTTAAGAATTATAGTACATGACAAATCATAAAAGTAGGCGTTTTGTAGGCGTTAAACCAATATCCTTCTTGTGGAGAGGAAACATACAATGCTGCTTAATTGAACACCACTTAGTAGGGACTAATGTCATTGAGTAATTAYTGGTGATTTTTCGTCGTTACAAATTAAAAGCATGGCCCATGAGGATTCTTTATGCCGAAGGGGCATAGCTTAGAGCTTATTCCACAATATATTTTTTCTCATCAAATTAGTGCTGGAAATTCTGACCAGTATCCACGTTAC